AAAAATTGGGAAGTTTATATATTAAAGGTTTTTTGATCTTGTAATCAAGTTATAAATGAAAGTAAGTACTTCATAATAACTTTAAGTTCTATTAAATGTTTTCAAGCCAGTATTAATGGATTTTTAAGCAAGTATTTGGCCATTTAAATGTTAAGTAAAAGAAATTGTTACCAATTCAGTTCCATTATTCCTTCTCATCCTTTGGTTACTCTTAACTGGAAACATTGTGATGATAATTTAATACCTGTCACAGCCATGGGGATGTAACCCTGTAGGAAATGGAGTAGCCAAAGAACTTATATGCATGACCTATAGACATGAACAATTGTGTGGGGATTGCCTGAGGGAGTGGGAAAATTGGGACAACTGTAATAAAATTTTTAAAAAGTAAAAAAAAAAACAAACAAAAAAACCTATCACAATATTCAATTCGATGTGGCTTTGGAAAGGTTTGCAGGACTTATTTTAGATAACATCTATAGAATAAGTAGCATTTAAATTCATATAGAGGCCTAGTATGTGGAGTAGTTATTCATTTGAAAATGTTACCAAATACATTGTTATGGCAAGTTTTGGAAGTTTTCTCATGAAGTCCTACAGTTTGAAAAAATTTTAAAGTAGGATGCATTATGATAAATCTCAAAAGCATTTAAAGACATTGATTTTATGTCAGGGCATCCGGTTGCATTTAAATTTTCTACATATGGTGAGTCCCTACTATGTACCATGAATGGTACTATGTGATTGGGATACATCAAAACAATGATCTTTGTCCTCTTGGAAGACTTACATTCTATAGTAAGGGGAACAGAAGCAATGGGCATAACTTGGTAGTATGTTAGGACATAATACAAACTATGGGGAAAATTAAGGGGAATTGGGTTGCAATTTTTAGACTGACTAAAATAGGCCTCATTGAGAGGACATTTGAGCAAAGACTTGAAGAAAGTTACTAGGATGGCCCTGACTGCTGGGTTAAAAAGAGATCATAAGACAACAGAAACCAGTTAGCTCATTGCAGCAATTCAGGAGAGAGAGAATGGTGATTTGGATCAGGGTGGTAAAGAAGAAAATAGATGAAATATCGATGTAGTTTTTAGGCTTAACTGATGGGATTTCCTGGCAATCCGTGGCTTGGATATCAAGAGAAATGAGTAAAAGAGAACTGCAAGGCAAGCGTGCTTCTAAACAACTGCAGTCCTGCGGCAAGAGTACAATGGACATACACACCAATGGTTAAATATTTAAAAGTTTGTTAAGTGAAAATATATTCAATGCTCCTATCTTTGCAAATATACCTCATAAGTACCTGGAAGGTCAGGTGTGTATTTCAGATTCTTAAATTCCGGTGCCAGAACTTTACTCGTGAGCAGAGCTCATCCTCAGCCCATGCCCCACCCTCTTCTACCCAGCCCTGGCCCTGAATTGTATGGCAGCAGGTCTCCTGCATATGGTGCAGGCATCCTAGCCTGCATGTTCAAAATTCCCCCTCCTTCTATACCAGTGCACACACTGGTGACATAGTGCATACTCTGGAACAAGTGGAACCATTTAGGCAGGGTATTTGGAATCCTGAATGAGTGAGCTCCAGGTAGGCATGTCATTTTGACTCATCTAAAGCTCAGGGCTCTGGTAAGGACCTCTCAGTTCTCTTAAGGGCAGCTCTCCCCGAAGGTTTTTGGCCTGAACATCTATACAGATGGTATTGCCATCAACTGAGAAGGGAGCTGCAGGTGGAGATCAGGGTGAGGAGATAAACTTGGGAGCACATATCTGTTCTCTATTAGACATCCAAATAGTACTATAAAGAAGAGTGGAAGGAAAATTTCAATTTATAGTAATACTAGCCTGGAATATATCAAACAAGACTGAAGGCTGTTTTTACTACAACCATTCTAACCAGTTAAAGATGTTAAAAAAAAAAACCAACAATAAAACAACCAAAAACCGTGAACTTTAAGTGACTCCAGACTCTTACTGAATGAATTCCATCCAGAAATTTTTTATCCCATCATATACAAACCGATGGACTCCATCTTGTCTGGAGCACTGTTTTTCAATTTTTTTTTTTTTAATTTAGGAAACACTCTATGAACCCTGCTTTATATGACTTAAAATCCCCTCAGACTTTTTCTCCTAGTGTACTACTCAGTGAAAGTCTTCACTAGTATGTGTTTTCTTGCCTGAAATGTTAGTATCATTTTTTTAAAAAACACTTCAGTACCCTTTGTTTTATTCTTTGTCAACAGTTAGATATTAATTTGGGAGTCTTTGGCATATAAATGTTATTGAAAATGATGAGACTAGATGAGATCAATAAGGGAGTGAGCATAAATAGAGGACCAAGGATGGAGCTCTGGGGTACTCTAAAAGTTGGGGCGGGAGGAGAGGACCCTGCAGAGGAGACTGAGACAGTAGCCGGAGGTTGATGGAAAATTAAGAGTAATGTCCTTGAAGGCAAATGAAGAATTGTATCCAAGAGGAGAACATGATCAACTGTATCAAATGCTACATTTGGTACAGATAGGCAACTTGATGCAGCCAGCTGTAATACATACTTTGAATGAGCCATTCCAAGTTTGTTTACCAAAGTTTTGTTTGGTAAACAAATCATGTTTACCAAAATGTTTACCAAATCTAAATGTTTACCAAAGTTTTGTTTGGTACTAAAATCATGTTTACCAAAATGATTTTGTTAGCTAATTTCTAAATTTTAGTAACTTTTAAACGAGTTTCATAGATTTTCATTATATCTACAACTGAACTTGTAGTGTTGCTTTGAAAAAAGTTATTTCCTATAATTCATTTTTTGTGAATTTATTTCATTGCCAATATGACCATTTTTGTGTGTTGGTGGTGACTGTTAAAATAAATTATGACCAAAGCTGTCATCAATCTACAGGAGTCCTATAACCTGAGATTTCCAATAATCAGTGCGCTGCAGCCAGGAAGAACACATTGTACTTCTGAGCTGCTCACAAAGTCACGAAATCATGAAATATCCAACGGAAAATTCTGAGTTTTAAAGTCTCTAGTTAAAATAAGTGCTTTTGAAAATTGTGCTTGTTCTGAAGTAATTTAGGTAGAATGCACTTGTATCCTGATAAACTGCAGGTTAGATAACACCAAATATAATGAGTTTCTCCGAAGAAAATGGCTTGGGCTTCCAGATTACACCTTATTTTTTATGCTATCAAGTTTGTATTGTATAATTTTTCCATATGAAATGACTTTCCCAAATACACCTGCCCTTGGGAACTCTGAATTACACACTTAAAGGAAGTATCCTTTCCAAATGAGTTGAATGGCATTCTGTTAAAAAGATGAACAGCTGGTCATGTAGAAATTCTCTGGAATGCCCACTTGTCCTACAAAGGCAAGGAAAGAACTGAGATGTGAGGTATACTCTTTGTTATTGGTATACAGAATTGTTTATCTTTTTTTTCACATAATCTTAGTAAAAATCCTTATGTAATTTTAATAATTGCCTTTTTCTTTAAAAGACTGCTAATCCATTAACAGTGTGAAGGTCCTGAGAACCCGCCAACTGCAATTCAGTGGGACTCAGGATTGTGCTGGAATTGTCCCATTTGCTAAAACATAGTTTCTTAGATTAAGATTCATGATCCGCCTGGTTTAAAACTATCCTTTGTTCTCAATTACCTTGGGATTAAGTTCGAAGTTCTTATCATAGTACAAAGGATTTGACTCTTGCTCAGCTCTCCAAGCTCATCTTTCACTTCTTCCCCTACTGAGTTCTTTGTTCCAGCAGCAAGGAACTAGCAGATGAGCGAAACTCTCCTTTCTTCCTCTTGGCACAGGCTGCACGCCGCCTTTCTTCTTACCTTGTCCAATTCTGACTTGTCGACGCCTGGTTTATTCCTCTTCGTGTGATTCTTCATACCCTTAAACTCAGTACACAGTTGGGGTCCTCTGTTTATTGAATGGATGACTCTCCCCACCAGGAGGTTTGGTTTCGGGTTATGGTCTTTATTCTGCTTTGTTTCTCAGATTTCTATAGAAATTGTTTGAATTTGGGGGTAGGAGTTAGAGGCAAGCACAGCGTTACCTTCCCCCTCATATTGATAAATAAAATTGCAGAACAGAATCTGGCCCACAGGCATTTTTAAAGACGGACCCACGGAGCCTAATCTGCCCTTTGAAAGGCAAAGTAAACTGCCTCGATTGCGGATTTTCTCAGCACAGGGTACTCCCCGGATTTGTAGTTAGAGTTGAGTTACTGTTGGGAGATGTTGCAGACTCTGCAGAGGGGTCAAGAAGGAAGCTGGGGAGCTTGTGTGAAAAGACAGGCTAGTGCCTGAGCTCCAGGTCGAGAGAAGGCGAGATGCCATCTGAAGTGGTCACCTTCCTCTACCCCTTTCCAACAGAACAGACGGTAGCTTTATTGCTTTAACAATCGCCATTTCTGTTCCAAGGAGACCTAGTTAAGGACCGTGAGAGAATGTAAGTGTAAAGACGCCGTGTCCTCTCGACCTTTGTGCACTGAAAGGTTTACATAGCACCGGGGAGAGCTCACTACCGCGGGTCACCACGGCTCGCTAGCCTCATCCACATCTTCCTTTCCCCCTTGCTCACCCAGGCCAGGACACTGGCTCTGCGGGATTCCAGAGCGCAAGGCGAATCCCCAGGGCTGGTTCCCGAGGGCAGAGAGCGAGGCTGGCGTTCCAGGCACTGTCCGGTAGCTGTATCCACCTCGCGGCCCCATCTTCATTTTTCTGAGGCTGTTAGCCGACTGCCCCGCAGGTCGGGAAGAGGCGGGGCGGTGGGGATAGCCTCTCAGCGCCCCCTAGACGTCGGCAAGTGTCGTCCGGCAGCTAGGGCACCCGCAGCTATCGCCCCTGGCGGAGGGCAGGAGTTTCCAGGGCTCGGGTCGCTACAGTCAACCCCGGGAAGGAGCGCGGAAGAGAGTGGGCGGTGAGAGGCGGAGCAAGGGACGCGCGGGGCGTGGACGCGGCCGGCTTTGGAAAGGCCCCAAGTTAATGAGGCGTGCGCCGGCGGCAGAGCGCCTTTCAGAGTTGGGCTTTTCCCCGCGGTGCGGGCGCCAAGAGCCGCCTTTTCCGCTGGGTGTCACTCGGGGGTGGGGGGGATGGCCCATTCAAAAGCGTCGCGAGGGAGCCAGGCCAGTGCCCTTCAGTGAGCGCTCGCAAGAGGACGGAAAAGGCCCGGAGGCTCGCAGCTCCCGGACCTTGTGGCGCATCAGGACGCGGTTACCCCTCTGCCCGGGCCCCGAGCCGCAACCGCTCTGCCTCTTGCGTGTTAGCCTCCTCTGCGCGCTCCGGGCGGGCGGTCGTGGAAACCGCTGGGGCGAGGACGGAGCGCGTCTGCTGCTGCTGCCCCCAGCCCGGGCGGCTGGAAGTGGAGAGGCCGAGCCCAGCGGCGTCCCCTCCTATGCCGGGAAGATGTTGGAGAGCAGCGGCTGCAAAGCGCTGAAAGAGGGTGTGTTGGAGAAGCGAAGCGATGGGTTGCTTCAGCTTTGGAAGAAAAAGTGCTGCATCCTTACGGAGGAGGGACTGTTGCTCATTCCCCCCAAGCAGCTGCAACACCAGCACCACCAGCAACAGCAACAGCCTGGGCAAGGGCCGGCCGAGCCGTCCCAACCCGGAGGCCCTGCCGTGGCCAGCCTCGAGCCGCCGGTCAAGCTCAAGGAATTGCACTTTTCCAACATGAAGACCGTGGACTGCGTAGAGCGCAAGGGCAAGTATATGTACTTCACTGTGGTGATGGCCGAGGGCAAGGAGATCGACTTTCGGTGTCCGCAGGACCAGGGCTGGAACGCCGAGATCACGCTGCAGATGGTGCAGTACAAGAATCGTCAGGCCATCCTGGCGGTCAAGTCCACGAGACAGAAGCAGCAGCACCTGGTCCAGCAGCAGCAGCCCCCGCAACCCCAGTCCCAGCCCCAGCCCCCGTTCCAGTCCCAGTCCCAGTCCCAGTCCCAGTCCCAGCCGCAGCCCCAACCCCAACCCAAGCTCCAGCCGCTCCACCCGTATGCGCATCCACACTCTCATCCGCATCCGCATCCACATCCACACCCGCACTCTCATCAACTACAGCACCCGCACCAACAACCGCTCTCGCAGCCGCACGGCCACCGACTTCTCCGCAGCACCTCCAACTCTGCCTGAAGGGGGCAGCACCCGGGCAAGACATAGTAACAAGGTAAGGTCCCGGGAACTCCGGCAACCGAGGGCCAGACGAGGATTGGGGCTCAGGGCTGTTAGGATTAGGAAGCGTGTTCACCAGTTGTGACTCTTGGGTGGAAAAATGAGAGGTTATTTTCTGGGTAGGTGAAAAGAGGAGAGGCAAGCCAGAGCCAGGAGATGCCGGGCAGGGAGGGGAGGGTGGGGGACGCGGGCCGGGCAGGGAGTCCTCGGGCACCGCCACCCTCCCCTCCCTGGCCCGAATGCCTTCAGTGGTGTGCGCCCCAGCGACACCTCTGGCTCTTTCAGTTTCTGCGGACTTGAGGGAGCGACCCAGGTGTCTTAACGAGCACGCTTTGTCTGCCTGACTGGCCCGAAGAGAACTGTGTCGTGGAGGAATTTGAGCCACCTACTTCATTCCGTGCCCTTTCTTTCCAGGTTTTGAGGACTTGAGGAAGTGGGACGAGCACCTTCCATTGTCTTCACTTGGATCGAAAGCAAATCTCTCTTCCCCGCACCAGGTCAAATTGTTTGGATATCACCGGACTGATAACTTGGGATTCTTCTTAGTTTTCTGCACACTCTTCATCACAATGCAGGAAACGATTTCAAGTCCAGAAGTCTTTATTTATGAACCTTTGAAAGGATATTCCATTATGGTGGAACTTCTAGGAGAGATGATGTACTGTAATTTTATTTTAATGTATTTTGATTTATGATTATTTATTAGTTTTTTTAAATACTTGTTCTAAGACATTTCTGAATGTAGGCCATTTTCTCAAAAAGGAACTTTCTTTTCAAAAATCTATTCCCTAGTAAGTTCTAATCTTGGAAAGGAAGAAAGGTCAGTGTAGAGGAAAACACTAAGAATTCATTAATTCATTACTCCTAGGGCATTTTCAGAATTTCTCACACTTTCATTGTTATGCCAGGTGGTTGAAATTAAACTCTGTGATATAACTTTTTGAGGGTTTTTTTTTTCCTTAGACATATATGTTGTGTAGAAGTTTAAAGAAGCTAAATGTTTAGAATTTTGTAATTATGAAAATCTAATTGTTTTTCTAAAAGGAAATCAGTAGTAATGCTGTCTAATTCAAAATATTTAAAACATAAGCCAACCTATGGCAAGGTGATCTTGAATGTGTGGTCAAACTAGGTATACTGTTGGGGAGAAAACCTCACTTTTATGTTATCTGTGAAGGGTTTAATAAGGAGAATTCTTTGGTTTCTTAGTAAAAATGCATTATTAGGTGTTTCATTTCAAAAAACATAGTGAAGGAAAAGGGAATCATCCAACTTGTTTGAGAGAACATTTTTGTGTTCTGTCCACAGTCGTAATTACCCTTCTCCAAGGGCTTTGCACACTTTACTTGAACCACATTTTCTTACTTTATTCTAGAAGCATAGCCTAGAATCTTGAAATTTAAAAATACAGTTTGTAACTATTTCAAAGAACTGAGAGTCATATCTTTTTGTTTTCTTACTGAAAATAATGTTGATCAGAAAAACCAACTGTTTTGCTTTTTATTGCTCTGTGAGAAGTTGGAGAGTTATATGTTTTGTTGTTAGGTTAACTAAACTGAGAAATTGAAAAAGAAAAGACTGGATAAACACTGGATTTTCAGTAGGAAAACAACCCCAGTCTTGTTTTAGCAGCCACTTGTTCATGAGGGATTGGGGGTGGGGGGATGTGCTTTTAAAGGTGAAACAAACCCTCTTCTGTGTTAAATCAAAAGGATGGTCAAAATCGACATGGGCAGATGCTACTTGAGTTTAAAACATGCTGTAGATGATACGAGATCCTCTGGGGGGCTGGAAATCACTTCCTATCTGCATGGCTTTACTCATGGGTCTCTGTTTTCCATTATCTTTTTCACAAAGCCTTGATCAGAAATTTTCCAGCATCCAAATTGGGCAGGTCAGTATTAGACGGATGCTAAGTTAATGTGGTCATGAAATGAAAACCGAATTTTATGCTAGAGATATCTTTAGTCTCCCTCCATCTAGAAAGGAGTATTTTGGTCAAATTTCTTTTTAGTGCAATGATGAAATTCTGAGGTCATAACTCTAATCCAAAAAGTTGCAGGGGAAAATGAAAACTTGAGCAAATGACAAGCAGAACTTAAGTGGACTCCCACTTCCAGTGACTGTTTAAGTGTGGTTGTAAACATATGCTGCAAAGATTTAAAAAATCATATATATATATGTACACATATATATGCGCATGTAAATAGGATAGTCAACTGAGCCAAATCTAAAGAGTTAAGGGGAGTTTGGTTCGGCTTCTTCGGAACCACTGCCGTACTTTTTAGATGCTGCCTCAGTGTGCTGTAGGTTTAATATATGTAGATTACATAACCCCTATTAAACCACAGCTTTTTTTCCAGATAGAAGGATTTTTCTTTCAAATTCATATGCTATTAAAAAAGATAAAACATAGCAAGTACTTTTAAAATTAAGATTCATGTAGGTTGTTAGCTTATATATAGGCTGTTAAATACTGGCTGGTGGAATTTTTTTCTACAATGTCTGTGGTCCTTAACGGGCCACCAGAATCACGGTTCCTTGTTCTGTCTTTCTGCAGACTCGGTCTGCTGGGATATTTTTGTTGAATTGACCCTGTTAGTGGCTCTCTAGTGTGAAGGTCTCTTAGTGTTTAATTGTGAAACCTCAGAAATGAGCGGGGAGTAGGTTAGATTCTGTGTTTTGACAACTTTGAAATTATGATTGAGTAATTATTCCAGAGCAAAGAAACAGCGATGCTCAACAAAGCTCAGCAAAATACAAATGCAAATCATTTAATGTGTCAGTGATTCTACCTAAAAAAAAAAAATGATAAAAGCCACATCAGGTATTACAAGCCCTAGCCAATCACCTTCATGAAAAAAATAAAAAAGTACTTCTTTCAAACCAAGAAGGAATGGACAGGTCCAACAGAAAACCATTCCTTAAATAAACATAAAATGTAAAAAGTTGGAAAACTAAAAGGAATGTCCCATCTGAACTTTTGTCCTTGAACTTGTGTCAGCACCCAACTTTGTATGCAGTGAGTTCAGGTCAGAATCTGTTGGGACAAATGAATGAAAGCAGGAAAAAATGTGTAACTTGCCAGCGCCTGGGAGGTGGTTTCTTTTGCCTCACACTGTGCTTCCTTTACATACATGTCATTCCCTGAGAACAGCTTTCTGGGATGGGCTTCATAACATGACGAAGCTCCTCAGGCACAGTTTCCTAGCGGAAATCACAGATCTGCGTGGGCCCTGCAGGGAGGGCCGAGGTCAGAGAGTAAATGGCTATAAAGGGCCCTTTCAAAATGAACATTGCCCTCATAGAGGAAGCTGGAATCCTCTCAGAAAAATCAAACTAACTTTATAATTTCACTTGATATTTATTCACCTGGAGGTAGAAAAACTCAGCTCTGCTGCTTAAAAGGGTTCCTCTCATATGTAAACACTGTCAGGAAGTCTGGGTAAGTTCAAAGGCCTTCTTAAAAAAGTCTGTCTGCACTCATATGTCTACTTCTCTTAGAGATTCCTCATTTTAAATCTGACACTACAAGTTGGTTGCCAGTGTGGAAGTTCCAGCACATCACTTGTTTTCTTTTTAACTTGTCTCCAAATGTTTACAATGTTATATTTAATGGCAGGTTTAGAAGAGAGGTCTGAGACTTGAGTGAAACTAGAACAATCCTATTAAGCATAGAGTTTTGTAGGGTAAGCCTGTGAGCATTCATTCTTCTCTCTTTTTTTTCTAAATGTCAAACTTCTTTTTGGTTTACCAATGAAATGCCCTCAGCAGAATAAAATTTCAGTTTGAAAAGTATAGAGCTTGATATCAAATCCATCAGATTCTTTCAAGAGAAATACACCAGTTTACCAAAAACAACCCAAGATGTATTAATTGTGAAATTGTGTTGGATGGATTTTTAAGAACTACTTTCTAAAATTTGGACATAATTTGAAGGGTGACTTTTTTGAACTGCATGTTGTACAGCTAATCCAGATTTATATAACATTGGATGACAAAGTGATCTGCGACTTTGTTGGCAGGACACCTACCTGCCAAATGGAGTATAGTATCTAACAGGGTTTTCTTCGAAAGGGCATTATTGTCCAGTGAAGGAAGCAGAAGGATTCTGGGTCATTAGAAGCATCTGCGTAAGAACTAGACAGGCCTGCTCCTATCTGCCCTGAAGCTGACCTGCTGGTGATCAGCTAGGGAGTGAGGAAGCAGATTTTAATAATAGGTGGTCTTTCCAAATCACTGTACTTATTTTGAGAAGATAAAGTGATTGTCTGTTACATTCCCCTGTCAGCTTCCTGCTAAGTTTCTGAATATTCAAATGCCAGCTCCTGAAAGACAAGTATCACCATGTACCAAATGCTTTACTATCACATTGGTGGACTTTAGTGTGGTCATAATTTGTGTAAATATGCCTCTTAAATGATTTGGGTAGATGTGATTTATTTTTCATATTTTAAGAATGCATTCCATTTCCAATAAAGTATCGATTGAGATGACCAGTCTGTGGAGCTTTTGAAGGCCTTGCTCACCGGGCACGGACACCATGCGTTCCTGTGGGAGAAAGGTTCTAAAGGGCTGGTCTGTTGTAAAGCCCATGACCATTCTGGGAAGAAAAAGACCATTTTTCCAAAAGGTTGGAAATTAATTTTTAAAAACATTACCTGGACATCTTGAATATGGCATATGAAACTTCACTCAGCTCTTTGGGTGAAATAATTACCTTATGCTAATGGATTTGAGTTGAATCTTCCATGATATCCCAGAGGATGAGAAATGGTTTTTAGTAACTGGCTTGAAGGCATTTCCCTCCTGAGTCTCAGATTCTAATCCTTATAGGTCTCTTCAGAGGGCAAAGCCGTGACTTTGAGTGAATCATTCTTCAAACAGATATTTATAAAGCTTCCTGTTTTATGTCGAGAGCAGAAGAGAGACTTGATTCTTTAAAGGAAAATAGCGTAACTTTTATAATCTCCATTGGCATTTAAAAACCTTTAAATCTCAAAAGGTTTAAAATAGAAAATTTGAAGGCAACTTTTTGTCCCTTCATATTGTCTTACATTGGCAGCTTTATTACTCTCTTGTTTTATGCAATATTTTTATTTTATTCTTTTAAAGAAGAAATGAAATCTGAGAAGATAGATTCCGGCCATTGTGAGGGGACTTCAGGGGTTCTGTGTGAAATGAAGTTACGTAACAGATGATAAAGCATGATTGGTAACAGCCAGGATCTGAGCATCATAGTGCATGGGTTCAAATTCCAAGTGCCTAATTTACTAGCCATGTAGCTACTGAGTTACATAACCTTGTGGAAATTCAATTTTCTTTTCTATAAAGTGTAGTTAATAAAGGTATCTACCTTAGGGTTATTGAGACAGTTTAATAAGTTAGTACATATAAGAGTGCTTAGAAACTCCTGTATTTTAGGGCACATAAACTCGCTTGGGGATCATTACAGTCACATGAATATATAATATATTGTGTTTTAAAGCTATAAATTATATTTTTCTGAGATCTCAGCACTTCTTTTAAATGGTAAGAGCAGTATGTTAGCAAGATCCTTGCATTCAACTTTGAAAAAAGAAAAAACATTTATAGTATTACTATATTCATTTACTTATTACTTTCCAGTCTTGGCTCATATGGTTATATATTTTGAGTTATAATGAAACAATAAGTATTTTGATTGGTTTATTATAACTTTTTTATATATATACATATGTGTGTGTGTGTGTGTATATATATATACACACACACACACACTTTTTTTTTAATGGAGAGAGAGAAGACACTCGGTCTCCAAATGTGGTAGTGTTGGTGGCTGTCGTGCTCTCAGTGAGTCCTTTTCTCAGAATTGTCCTCAGTCTCTT